AACAAAAGCTTAGGTCATTTATTTACCGATTGAGGCACTACGAAGTTTGCCGGGTCAGATAGTCGTGTAATAAAAATAAAACCCGCAAAAATATAATTTGCGTAATCACTAGTGGTAGAACTCTTATGAGTCCGCACGGGTAGGTACCACCACCCTGCCTATTCCTGCCGTGAAACAGTAATGCGTTTCGGTTTGAAGGGCGGGGCAGCCGTTGTAAATATACTGAGACCTTAGAACTTATATCTCAAGGTGTGTGGCGCATTTACGTTGTAGATGTTTATGAGCTTCGGTAACCCCTTAACACTAAAAAAACTATAAATTTTTCAATTTCGACAAGAGAGTACATACTGAACCATTGACACTGAATATCATTTACGTCATATACCGCATTGCGTTTGAACTTTAATACGAATCTGCCCGATGTGTGCTTCGCAAAAATTGAATGCATTCCAGAGTGTCTTGGGAAATGTCGAATGATTTTTGCTGTTTCGACCTGCTTGCTAGTCGAGTCACGTGGTTTCTTTAGCGCATTCATCTATAAGTCTTTGTAGTCTCCGAAATGAGCACTACTACGATTATCGGGACACAAAACACGCACACATTATTACTCACCTACTCTTTTTACATATTTATTGCTTGAATGGGTGGACGAGCTCACAGCCCACGTGGTGTTAACTGGTGTAAGTTACCCTCCTTGAGATACGAGTTCTAAGGTCTCAGTATAGATACAATGGCTGCCTCACCCTTCAAACCGAAACGCATTACTGCTTCACGGCAGAAATAGGCGGGGTTGTGGTACCTACCCGCGTGGATTCACAAGAGGTCCTACCACCAGTAAACTCTAACAACCAATACCCATAACTAACAGCTCTAGAATATTATACGCCTTCCATAATATAATTACCAGATGATGACCGAGCTTTGCTCGGTTTTTTTTTATAACGCCATCTTGTTGTGTCTTTAAAACGGTTAGTTGCCCTCAATTAAGAAAAATAGTATTATTATTCGCCAATAGATGTCGGGAAGAGTTGATTATTGAAAACAGGAATAAAACAACATTTTCTGAAAATAAATCGTAGCTAGATCGATTTATCGCCCCCGAAATCCCCTGTATACTAAGTTTTATGAAAATCGTTGGAGCCTTTTCCGAGATTCAGATTATATAAGTATGTTGGCACACGTCAGGGATGGCTGAGCGGTAGTTTCGTCATCACTCGTATTGGCTTGAACTTAGTTTAGTCAATAAAACTTTTCAATAATAATTATTGAAACTCAACACACACAACTTTCACAATGACAGGATAAACCGACAGTTTCGTTGCACATACCGACAGACCGACTGACTGACAGTCTGACTGACTGACTGACTGACTGACTGACAGTCAGAGACTCACTGCTGAGACGGACGGAATCACTGTCTGACACGAATGCCACGACTCTTTTTTTTTTCCTACCTATGCTGATAGCCTTGAGAGGCTATTTCAGCGTACCCTAGCTTGTGTAGGTGAGCTCGCGGGGCTCAAACCGGAGAATTGCTAACACCGCCCTAGCAAGAGCAGTGCTTCGCAGAATCTACCACCGGATCGGAAGCGCGACCCACTGAGAAGATCCGGCGAGAAACTCAGTGGGCTGTGTCTGNAAAGTCAGGAAAACACAAATCGTTCATGCAGGCACAATAATTTCTTATAAATATCACTTCACAGCTAAACGTTCGGGCGCCATTTTTAACACTACAAGTCCGACTGGCGGGCTTTTGTGAGTTTTCGTGAGTTCGTTGTTCCGGGCTGTTGGCGAAGATGATATAGAAATAATGTTTACACTGATTTGGTATGAGGTTTTAATATAAAAAAGCGACACAATAACTAACAAAATACAAAATGAGTTGAGAATCGTACAGTTACACTAAGACTCGCAATATCTTACTGGTCGTCGTCGCGCGCGCTGAGGGCGTGTGTTTTCGCGCTCAGAGAGCTCTGTCTCAGCGGGCGGTAAGGCGGCGGCGGGGGCGGTATCGCACGTTCGGAAATTACGTTCCGTTATAAAAGGTTTTTATTCTATGTATTTATAATTTTTTTTCGATCCATTTATTTGGCAGAGTTGCAACTTTATGCACATGTTCATAGCATCAAATGATAGTAGACTAGACAAGGTATAAGGAAAATAAAGTTTCAAAGCGGGACCTCGCGGTACTTAGCAGGAATTTAATTTGATGTGACCCGCTCCATACAAAAAAATCACAAAACACATTTTTCTGACCAAACTATAAAGTTTTTGTAATTTTTGCCCAAAACAATTATTATTGAGATTAACGAGCTCTATCTATCTACATAAAAAAAATTATAAAAAAACAAAGTTGGTCCCTAAGTCACTAAAATCATAGAATCGACCCACTGTGCAACGCATTGATTTAGGGACGGATTCTTTTAAATCCCATGCAATAACATTGTTGGTATCCAAAAATTATGTCGAATGTGTTAACTCTATGTAAACATTATTTGTTCTTGTTTTACTTAAAAAAATATTTTTAGTAAGTACCTATTATGAACAATAGTTAACTTTAGTTTTAGAAATGGCAACACTTAAAGCTGAATTTAGCTAACCTAACCTATAATGTTTCAGTGGAATATGCGTAAACTGCGCGATTGCCAATTAAAAAAAAAACCTATAAGGTTCCCAATGAATTTAATAGGGATTCCGGATGTGAAGAGTTCTGAAGCAAATCGTAGTTAATTTAGACTTATAAGTGGATGTACCTACTCCCAAGCACAATTGCAATGCGGTAGTTGTAAGTAATTCCACCTAAATCTACACCTGAAATTTAAAATGTGTCCTTTTTGTATGTATCAATGACCACGTTCAGCTGTGGAAATATTTATTAGTATTTAATATGGTAGAATTTAACATAACTATTGTAACTTTTCGTTGGTACAAATGTCTTAATCTTTTTACATTTTACTTAATCATAAACACGCGGGATGAGATGTCCTACTTTTTTCCCGCGGTGCACATACTATTATTTCTCCTACCAGGCCGAAAGTTCGTGGAGTACCGAGCTGGGGTCCAGGGGCAAAGCCCTGGCCGGGTATAGGGTTGGCGGAGCCCCTATACTCATAAAAAAACAATTTAACTGTTTTTTTTATTTTTAAATAAACTACTACTAATTGAATAAGAACTGTCTGATGAACTCATCTTTGTTTAATACTTCACTATTAAATTTTATTGCCTTTTGTTTATTTCACTTTTACACTAAACACAATATTGCAAATTACCCGAGCACAACAATGGCGGAGAATTTTAGGTGCGTGAGAGCAGACGTAGACACTAACGCGCANTTGTTTAATACTTCACTATTAAATTTTATTGCCTTTTGTTTATTTCACTTTTACACTAAACACAATATTGCAAATTACCCGAGCACAACAATGGCGGAGAATTTTAGGTGCGTGAGAGCAGACGTAGACACTAACGCGCATGCGCACTTGTCAGTACCCAGGGAGGAAAAGTTACACTTTCTTCCCTGTACAGCGGGAGGAAAACCGAACTTTCGGCGTAGGTAGGAGAAAAAAAGACTTTAATGGTGTAAAAACAAAACGTACATATTTTTTTTATATAATAGATATGTTTCGCGCCTAAAAAGGTACTTGCAGAGAAATTAGTGTATTATGTAAGTGTCTCTGGAAGTACTACAAGCTGTGGAGGTATTTCCACGTGTTTGTTGTGTGAGCAATACCTATTTTTAATTATGGTTGATTTATGCTTATTGCTTTTAAGTATACGCATTTATTGTGGCGACTGTGTGAAGTCGTTTTCGTTAATTGACTTTTGTTTATTGTAGAATTAGATTTAAGTTCACAAAAATAAATGTTTCTAATGTGGTGTAATAGCAGTTTTGTTTTTGTATCTCCCGTTATTTATATTATTACTAGTTGACCCGGCAGACTTTGTTAGTGCCTCAATCGATAAATAAAAGGCCTAAACTTTTGTATAAAATAAACTTAAAAAAAACAAAAGGAATCCGTCCGACGGGGAAAAAATAAATTGTTTGTTTTTATATTATTCCGAGCATTTTCATATTTTTTCCACCTTTTAAACCTTCTCTGGACTTTCACGAATAATTCAAGACCAAAGTTAGCCAAATCGGTCCAACCGTTCTCGAGTTTTAGCGAGACTAACGAACAGCAATTAATTTTTATATATACCTATAGATTAAGATTATTATTTTTTTGCTTAGAGGGGTGGACGAGCTCATAGCCCACCTGGGGTTAAGTGGTTACTGGAGCCCATAGACATCTAAAACGTAAATGCGCTACCCACCTTGAGATATAGGTTCTAAGGTCTCAAGTATAGTTACAACGGCTGCTCCACCCTTCAAACCGAAACGCATTACTGCTTCACGGCAGAAATAGGCAGAGGGTGGTACCTACCCGCGCGGACTCACAAGAGGTCCTACCACCAGTAAAAAATATTGCTCGGTAGACCGACAGTCCAAATGTTGTTCGGAACTTGTATGCAAGCTTATTATAAGCGAAATTCCCGCATCTGTCAAATATCTTTTGTTGTATGATGTCTAGCCCCACATCACTCCCCTCCGAGACTGGAGAGGTCGTGTTATTTAGTTAGCGTCGTCCGTGCCGAGATTAGCTTGCAAGTGTCAGTGCTGCTCGAAGTCTGCGGTGGACTTGCCTCAATTTAAGGCTAAAAAGTGTTAGAGCCCGTTCACACATGGTCTCCGTTTTACTGGTCCGTTTTTTTCATCGATGGAGCATCAAGTTGTATGAGTGACTTCAGAGGCCTCATTCAGAGGTGTCCTGGCACTAGTCCTCCTCCCTTGATTTCAAACATTCGCCGAATCTTAAGAACTTTTCACGGCCAAAAAAATTCCACGACGTTATAGAAAACACACGTTTTTAAATCTAGACCCTTTGCCCAGAGAAAAAAAAACAAAGCACGGAGCTGTTATATACCAATTTTTTTTTACTTATAGCAATAAAACACAAAAAAAATATTGTAATGTCTATTTTTATTTGGCATCCATCACAACTGTCGTAAACATTCGTGTACAAATTAAACATCTCATTCATTCAATCTTCAAGAAAGTTTAACTAAAAAACAAAAACAAAAAAATTAATAGAAATCCTAAACTGGCGACGCTACTATACAATCACGCACAAAAATGAAGCATTAAAAATAAATAAATTACATTTTATTTTATTCAAACATAATCCTCTCCGCATTTACACACTTTAAATATTTACTGAACGCACCTCGCTAAATTAAAATGATTTAAACAAAGATAAATTGCCCTACGTGGATGCATTCAGGAGTTTTTTTTTTTCAAAAGACGTTTTGTTTTTGCATTGTCAATTGTCTGCGACAAGCTTGCTCCGGCGGGTTGTTCTGGGAGTACTGGTTTGTCCTAAACGCGTCTAGACTGGTTGAGGATCATCTGGCGTACGCTAAACGTGGACAGGCCGAGACCGATGGTGGCTAGGAGTAGAGCGGACCGTGTCATCATCTTCTCACGGTTCGCTTGCTGTAAAAATAATAATAATAATTTTAAGCAACGTCCTTTCAAAATAGGGTAATTATTTTCTTTTTGCCTTGACGGGTGTTGTTTCTTTTTTTTATTTCTTAGATGGGTGGACGACTTCACAGCCCACCTGGTGTTAAGTGGTTGCTGGAGCTCATAGACATCTACAACGTAAATGCGCCACCCAACTTGAGATATAAATTCTAAAGTCTCAAGTATAGTTACAACGGCTGCCCCACCCTTCAAAGCGAAATGCATTACTGTTTCACGGCAGAAATAGGCAGGTTGGTGGTACCTACAGGTCCTACCACCACAAACCACTCAAATAGAGTCGCACAGTAATCAGTCGTCGGTGTAAGAAGTTTTCTAAAACCATCAGTTCTTCAAACGCCTTTAATATACCTAAACTTCAATCAATGACGAGAGACCTATTTGTTTTTGTAAACCCGAAATAATTCAAATGCGTCGTGCCGAACGGAGGCGCGGTCATGTGGATTTTATTTTGCGTTCTAGAAATAGCACGTCGCCATTTAATTATATTGCGTATGCCAAATGGCGCCACGTTTGTTGTAAACATTTCAACATGATACATCATTGTAAGTATGGCCATTTATTTTGGCCCCAAATGACGTCACAGACGAAGGGATGTGGTAATTTAAAAACATAAGAACATATTCCCTAATCGCAGACAACCAAAAGGATAGTCAATACATCATTGTAAGTATGGACTAACATTGGTATGGCCATTTATTTTGGCCTCAAATGACGTCACAGGCGAAGGGATGTGGTAATTTAAAAACAATAATAGATTCCCTAATCGCAGACAACCAAAATGATAGTCAATACATCATTGAAAGTATGGACTAACATTGGTATGGCCATCATTTATTTTAGCTCCAAATGACGTCACAGGCGAATGTATGTGGTAATTTAAAAACATAAGAACAGATTCCCTAATCGCAGACAACCAAAATGATAGTCAATACATCATTGTAAGTATGGACTAACATTGGTATGGCCATTTATTTTGGCCTCAAATGACGTCACAGGCGAAGGTATGTGGTAATTTAAAAACATAAGAACAGATTCCCTAATCGCAGACAACCAAAATGATAGTCAAACGATCTGAGCTTATGGAACAATCTAGAACAGTATCACTTTAGTTATGTTGAGTGCTGCCACCATTAAAAATCTTAAAGGCATTAATGATAAGCTAGATTTGAATTGCAAGATCACATTTTTGTGATAAAAATATAAGCTATTTTAAGCGGCGGCTTCAGATATTCGTAGATAATTATATACTAATTGAATCATATAAAAAAAAATTTAATTTTTTCGCAATGACAATATAATTTGATCTTTTGTTCCTTTGTCTTTAAGAAAAGTAAAAAAGTACTGGGCAATTTTTTTTCGCATTCAACCTAAATAGATAAAAAAATAGTACAATAATTATATGACACGAATACAACTCACATAAGGTCGGCTGTTTTAAAAGTCGTCCAAGATACAAGATTGTATTATTATTATTATGGTTAAGTTATACAGCCTAGTGAGGGCCCACCAGCTATAGTATTGCGCTGTTGCCCCTATCTGCATAGGATGCATCATAGTCTTCTCTCAATTGCATACCCAAACCATACGACTTGGCAACTTCAGCCAAAGTCATAACCCACTGAGTACCACGCCGGATCATCTCAGTAGGTCAGGATTCCGAAATTGTTAGAGCAAGTGTTAGCAAAATCTCTCAGACTGAGCCCCGTGAGCTCATCTAGCCCCCCGATGAAACCAGAATAGGCCCCTTGAGGCTACTGGTAAATAAGTAAAAAAAAGGTATTCCATAGTTAATCGGACGACTCTTTTAACCTCGAATGACGTTGTTAGAGATGATACCGTCATCTCGTTTTTACCATCGCACCGCCCGCCACCGGAGTAGAGTTCATCCATACTATCTGGAGCCACTGCGGTCATCTGCAGAGCGTGTCCAGAGGCCTTTTTTGCCACGTACCATCCGGCTATGGAATGAGCTCCCCTCTACGGTGTTTCCCGAGCGCTATGACATGTCCTTCTTTAAACAAGGCTTGTAGAGAGGGGTAGGCAGCGGCTTGGCTCTGCCCCTGGCATTGCTGAAGTCCATGGGCGACGGTAACCACTCACCATCAGGTGAGCCGTATGCTCGTCTGCCTATAAGGACAATAAAAATCTATGTCCAACAAGATTTTCTAAATTTCGGGCGGTAGTTTCGAAAAATCAGTCTTGTTCCTTGTAACCGACAGTAAAACTGAATAGCTAATTAGATAGTAGCTATCCAGCGCTAAGTACTAGTTGTTGGGCACAAATCTGTTTAAAGAACATTTACGATACTTGCTACGGAGCTTTGCTTTGATAAATGTAATTATTTATCTAAGTGACACACATTTTTAGTGACGCGATTAACGCACTGCGTCTCAATACGAAGTTCTTAACGTATTTTTTTAGTCTTATATTTTTCTGTTACCAGCCGCTTTTTTTAAATACGACGAAAGTCGTGATTGAAAAGAAAGGTTTTTTTTTATTGCTTAGATGGGTAGACGAGCTCACAGCCCACCTGGTGTGAAGTGGTTACTGGAGCCCATAGACATCCACAACATAAATGCGCCACCCACCTTGAGATATAAGTTTTAAGGTCTCACGTATAGTTACAACGGCTGCCGCACCCTTCAAACCGAAACGCATTACTGCTTCCCGGCAGAAATAGGCAGGGTGGTGGTACCCACCCGCGCGGACTCACAAGAGGTCCTACCACCAGTAAAAATATTTACTGGAGTTAAAAATATATAACATTTCTTCGTCTGTATCTAATATAATACAATCGCATTGTTATCATAAGCACTATCGTTTTTATCCAGTTATGTAGCAGTTGGGATATTTAGCAGATTGCGTCTTTCAGGAGTTTTTAGGGTCAATAAAAACGATTAAAATACTATTAGGGTGTGTCTGATTAACGAAAGAATATCTGGATTCAAAGACCATCTACTGTGGTCATCTTTACTGACCAGGGTCAGATTGTCATATGACCAAAATGGCGTGAAAGATCTCTGGAGACACACTGTAGATGAACACATTTCTAGGTAGTTACGTGATGTTAAAAAGGAGACAGAATCACTCTACAGATAGGTATCAAACATCAGACGAAGAACTATCGCGATATTTTTCTTCACTATTTAACTCTGGATGTTTCGCCGCGCACTTTTGGCGTCTCGCCATTAAAACGAACTAAAATGAAGTACAAGGTGTTTGCTACGATTCAGCACATTAGTTGCAAGCTTTGTATTGTATTTATTTAGTGGCCAACGAAGCTGGGAAGCTTAGTTCAAAATTATAAGATTAACCGAGAAGGTATCACCATCTTGCCTGCCTGTTTACTTTATGTTCCAATGTGGACGGCCATATGTTGCGATGCCCATTGGCTCCTGTTAAACCAGGCAAGCCGTAAGCTTATCTGGGAATGCGATAAATAAAAGAAGGCGAATGGAGTACCAATTACAAATCAGGAATGGTTTAATATACTTTGGCAGTACATACTATATCGGAATCAGAGACTCCTGACAATATTCAAACTAGAAAATTTCCCAAAATATCTAGAAAGTAATCTGTAGTGTTTATATTAATGTGACATTGGAAACGAAATCAAAACTATTATTTGTACCAAAAGGAAACTGTGCATTATACTAGGGGCAATTGCGAGCCAGAGATTAGTGATATGAAGATGTACACTGGTACAAACTGGACTGGTAAAGAATGAACCGACCGGAAATTTACTTTATCCGTCGCGGAGTCCGAAACGACTATCAAATTATATGTCATAATAATTTTGTAAATACACTTCAGTACAATAAGGATACAATAACAAATATCATAGTTAAATAATAATTATTTTTACATTATTCGTAGTGCATTTAAACAAGTCCCGAATATCTTTCTAAGTCGTATTCGTCCAAACGTGACTAGGTATCTATCTACAAAACCGGAACGCGTGATTTCGCAGTGTAAAGAAGCACTACCAGTTGTAGATCCAATAAAGTGTCTTTACAATCTACATACCAACCTTTTAGCTCTTAGTATACGATCGAGGTATTTAAGTACATTAATGGAGGTCCCGTAGTAGTCGAAATTCGACTATAATTAATTGGAATTGTAAGTTTGTACACTATTATGATTGTATTTTATACTTCTATTATCACAAACTTCGCCAAGACTACACTATAAAAAATATTAACAAAGACAAACAATATTTAATATATTCTCAATTTGACAACAGACGTCAAGAACAAAAGTTTGACCATAAATAGTATGCATGCGTGTGTGCGTCAAATACGTGGTATGTAGTGTGTGTAATGTTTTCTTTATTGATTTAATGAATCTTTTATGCATTATTTAAAAAAAAAATAGCATTGTGCACTTCTACTCTATATTCTCTATAAGTGTGGAAAATTTCATACTCCTTCGTCCGCGCAATTTTCGTAAAAAGGGATACAAAGTTTTTGCTTCACGTATTAATATATAGATTATTAATATTTCTTAAGTACCGATTTCTGTTTGTACTTATTCATTGGTCATGACGAGGCTTGGATACAGGTCATTAGCATTCCCTGCTCTGGAAGAAAAGGAACTCTCATACCGGTTTTGAGACGCGGAGTTTAATTAATCACTGATCTCAATTCGGAACTATTTGTATTAGCCCAAGGGAGAACATGCACTACCACTAGTGGTAACCAGTTATCCCAGGAACTGCAAACTTACCTGCCATCACAGAGTACCATTGGCAAGCAAATCGATTTCTTCCGAAACCATTGTGACAACGTTATCAAGGGTAATGAACTTGGGATTCCGTGAGTCATTAATCTTGATTTAGAATACGGGAAAGTTTCGATATCGCTTCCAAAAATAGATTTATCAAGCATAATCTTAAATAAATAATGCTGGTGGTAGGACGTCTTGTGAGTCCAAACGGGTAGGCACCACCG